TATGTAAAGCTAACTCTGTCAATAAACATATTAATTAGGAGAATAGAGAGAATATGTAAAGTTAACTCTGTCAATAAACATATTAATTAGGACGTCATATAAACTAATTTTTGACTATGTTGTTCGATGAGATTTCTTTTTATATTATTCCACCAACAGCTTATCCAAAACAAGAATGATATATTCTTTAGATGACTTTATTGTAGCATTAACTTTTTTAATTGATTAATTGATTTATTTATTTTTTGGTTTTCTTGAGTTTTGTACATTTATTAGAAAATGCATTCGTTAAAATATTAATGTGTTTGTAAGATTCTTTAATTCTTTTAAATTCAATTATCAATACAGATACATGTAGTGGACTAGATGTCAAATACTGATATAAAATAATAACTTATACAATTCTAATTAAATTAAGAAGGAATTGTTTGTTATGATTTCACTTGATAGGCTTGCAACGTTCCGTATGAATTTTGTATAGAAGGAAATTCTATGATGGAAATAGTTCAATTCAAAACGTTTGTTATAAACATTTTTGTACAATGTACTTAAAAAAATTTAAATAGATTTCGCCTGTCTTCGTTAAGCAAAAAATAAAAATATAAAAGACACAACATCATACACTGAAATAACTTCCTTTCAAAGCAATAAATTTGAAGGGTTTCTTTCCATGGAGGCAAATTTGGGAAGGGAAATGTTTCCTTATGCATGTAAGACTTCCATTTACTACAGTACGAAAGCAATTTACATGTACATGCCTACTGTATTTAGAAGGTAGTATTCACAATAACAAAAGAAAATCATTGAGAAAAATTGATTTATTGTAGTTGTGAAATATGATATGAATAGTGTCATCGCAAAGTCATGTGCACATTTTAACAAAGCCGAAAATCCTCCTTTAATAAGATTAATAACTTCTTTTTAATGTAGCTAACGATCTCAAAGTTAGGTTTTCTGATCACGAGTTGTGTTATACCCGTCTGTCTTTCTGTCTGTTCGTCTTTAAACTTTACACATTTTTAACCTTCGCAAGTGAGTTAAAGCTAAGTATAAACGTTTCTATGCAAATTAACTAATTAAAACGCATAAGGCTTACTCCTATCGTACAGAAAAAGTTAAAACTGATTTTCTAAAACAAACTTAGTACCCAGGACATGTGATAGCCAGTTGACATTATGACGCTACCCGTTATCTCACTACAAATCATTGTATATACCCTATATACTGCAAAATACAATCACAACAAAAATGAAGCCATCTGAAGGGCTGTATTTTTGTTAGACTTCATTTTGATATACAATTCCTCACAATTTGCATGTCACCTCAATTTTATTCAACCATTAGTCTGGCCTTGCCTGTCTGATATGCACGATATATCGACTTTTTCGCACGATAGAGACAGGCAATACCAGTCTATTTAATCAGTTATTTTATGTTTGACAGCAAATTTAAGGAATCTATTCTTCTCCATGTAATAATTATTTTTAAGTCACAGAAGAGATTACTTTTCTTTGGGAGAAGGATACACGTTATTTTTTTTATGTTTGATCATTTACTTTTATAGAAGTTTATAAATCTTGAAAAATTTAGGAAAATATTTAAACATTTAATATTCACTGATATTCGTGTAGAAAGATAGAGATCATTAAATAAGAGCTAAATATCATTTTACAAAATCAGCACAGAATTTGACACTGGCCGAGCATACACGCTAACTGGGGTGACGTCTAGAATAATGATATTTGTTTAGCAAAATACACATCTTACATCGTGCAAACTTGTTAAATGTCACTTTGTTTGATAAGAAGTAGGAAATTGTCATAAATCGCACCTTACCCAGTAATTAACCTCCTCAAGAGGAACCGATTTTTTAAATATGCCTCCACTCATACCTGACACTCAATCGATTTAACTTATATTGAGGCCTTGAGAAAAAAAGTGAAAAATAATGGCCGATGGCTTGAGATAAACTTCAAGGTAAGTTTTCATTTGTAGAGATATAATTTATTATTCTATTCAAAAGAGGAACTTAAAAAATTACCGGCAAAATATTAATTATTTGGCATTGAGGGCAGATTACTGATTAAAGCCAAATTCTGCTATTTCCACAATAATTCGATTTAAAAACTAAGGTAAAACAAAGATTTAAAATCAAATATAAATATCTTCAGAATGTATTCTGGGTTTGTATGAAGAAAGAACGTATTCAGTGGATCAAACTTTTACATGTAATTACATTGAATGTGGAAAACTCTCGTTGATGTAGTTTTTCTAAAATCTTTGTTAAAGAATAGAAACAATCCAAAAACTCACGCTTTATCAGCATAAAACTGTAGATGATGATTTACTTTTTGATAAGTTTTGAAAGTTTAAATAGAATGACATGTGAAAATAACGAACAGTAATCAAGTTTAAAAAAATCATTGGAACAGCAGAAATTGGGAGCAGAGCAAACACGGACTTCTTAAATCACTAAATAAGTTAAGTATTTTAATTTGTTAGCCAAGACAAATAATTAATTACGAGTACATGTAACAAAGCTTTGGATTTCTAAGTTTTTTCACGTAATACCTTTGACGTTCAATCATTGTCTCATATCTAATCCTTATTTTGATGCGATTGGTCAGAACAGGTTATGTCTTCCATAACTCTCTCTCTCTCTCTCTCTCTCTCTCTCTCTCTCTCTCTTAAGTTTTAAACAGCCTTCGGATTTTGATAATATATTTCACAAACATTATCCAGTGTCAGTAAATTACGTATACTAATTGTGGAGATTGATTGATTGATTGATTGATTGATTGACTGATTGATTGTATGTTGTTAAACGTCCTGTTCGAGGATTTTTCACTCATATACAGACGTCACCGTATGCCGGTGAAGGGCAAATGTGATATCACACTTAGTTTTTAAAGCACAATGTGTAAGAAAATTGAAGAAATACAACAGACGAGGATAAATATATAGAGGATATTCAATGTTTTGTAGATGAATATGGAATTTATTTCACGAGTGGGACAGGATTTTTTTATATTTTCACGAGTGCGAAGCTCGAGTGAAAATATATATATATAAAAAAAAAAACCTGTCATACGAGTGAAATAAATTCCATGTTCATCTACAAAACATTGAATTTTCTGTTTATTACATTTTCTTTGATTTTCCCTTTGCCTCTGTCTTTTCTTTACACAGTGTCTTAGGCCTGACGTCATAGTTGAGCGGTTGAGACGTCATAGCTTAGAAGTTGTGTGTCAAATTGAAAAATCACACAGCATGGATTTTAGCAACATATTTAGGAAGAAATTTGCAGTTTTAGCTCTATCAAGTTACTATCTCTATCTTATGACAGGCCAGAAATTATTTTTTTTACTTACTTTCATATCCTTTCACACTGTGAGAGAATATCATTTTTGGTATCCTTTCACACTGAGAGAGAATATCACTTTTATTCAATGAATAAATCACAGTATTTCACTGTTGAAAATGTAATAAATACTTTTATTCTTGAAGTAAAGATGTACAGTACTGTATATAAAATATTTCTTCTTTCTTAGGGCTCTGAGTTCTTTCTGTAAAACGATTTAAATTCAGTCTGATATTTTAGTTTGAAAATGTCTTCAAAAAGCCTTGTATCGCCCTATTTTGATAAGACTGATGAAAGTGGTTTGAGAAAAAAAACACTTTAAATATTATTTCCCTATGTACAATGACATTCAATAGATTTAGCTGTTAACGCCCTCACCGTGAAATTTTGACACGTAGTAATTATTTCCTTTACATGGGTGTTTTACGAAGAAATATAAAATAAAAGAAGACTTACTCTACAAAAGTGCGAGTCTTAAATGGAAATGAATTTTTTTTAAGTAAAATGAAATAATATCTTTAACAACAAGGGTACAGCTTATTTCAATTTTGTGGATATACCTCTTCATTTATTTTTTGGCGGTTTTGGAATAAGCAGGAAAGCTTTCACACAGGTGAAAAAAATAAAGTGTTCAGGTTCAATAATGTTCAAATTATGGCATGCACATGCTTTTTGTTATTCTCAATGTAAGAAATAAAAACTTTAAACATTTTGCTGTTTTCTTTTGATTAACAGCTACAATAAAGAAGGGTATTTTTTGTCGTGTCACTCATTTTAAATTTTAAGGTTTCTTTACAGGCACAGAACTTTTATAATTATATTTCAATTTTGACTGCATTGTGTCGTCTAATTGGCTTGGATTTTTTCTTTCTTTCTTTTCTTTTTTCTTTTTGGATTCCATCTCCTGTGCTTTCCAGAGGTTCTTGTTTTTTTTTTTTTTTTGCTCTTTTGACATTTCATATTGTTTACAAAATTCTGAGATTGTTCACAGTTCCTTGGTTTTAATCACATTTTATTGACACTATGACAATGGGATTGGACCCAAGTTTCAATAACTTAGATAGTCCTAAATTTTTTTTTAAAAAATATGAATAGCCATACAACCTTTACCAAGATTTACATACATACATACATGTACATAGAAAAACAATCTCTTTTATATATAATTAATAGTATTTATGATGATGATAATGATGATAATAATAGTTTCAAAACAGGTAATAAGAAGTATTCGCTGAAACGACCCCGTGTCAGTTCGTTATCTTCACCTTTTCCATTTATTTCACAACCCCCTCCCCACTCTCATAATAGTACAATTTTTTATACCACAGTAAGAGACAACCCTTTTCTAAAACATTCATTCAAAAGAAAGATTTTGTTACCCTAGACAGGCGTAAATTAAGATCATTAGACGTTTTGGACGCACCTTAAAGGCTTCGGAATACTTACAGACTTACACACAAACACACACACAATGTCAAGTGTAATACATGTGTAAGATGACAATATGGATGTTACTGACGTATGTCATTGTTATATCCATGACTATGTTACATGCATTGATGAATGCATGAATATTCCACTTATTAAGGATTTGTTTATCTCCATCATGATATTTGCCAAGCTTTCTTTTATTTAGAATGACGTAATAATAGAAAGTACTCCAGAGGTTGTGTGGATGTTAATACCATATGGCAGATCGACATGGAACAGCTCTACCATTACTGATATTTATTTCAATGTTTCAGCCTTCACTCTCTGGTGAGTTTAGCTTTGATTCATGAAAGTAATAAAATCTAGTAATGGAGAATTCTAGAATAATCTAGACTTAACATACATTCCTGTAATATATGTTGTGCAAGTTAAATACAGAATTCTTATTATTTAATAGCTAAAGATTGCAAAATAAAGCATAAGAAACAACACAAAAGCTAGCGGTATAAATATCGTCAAAGCGTTCAGGTATTATCCTGCTTCAGAAGCTCAAATAGTCGAGAGAGAGAGAGAGAGAGAGAGAGAGAGAGAGAGAGAGAGAGAGAGAGAGATAGAGAGAGAGAATTAGACGCTTGGAAACATTTTAATTCTACTGAATTCTTTTAGGGGGCTATGCATTAAATGAAAAATCTTAAGCTTCAATCACGATCGTAAGTTGGTCCGGATTACTATGTACATTTTGTGCTGAAATCATTATACTTTATAAATTACTTCTTTCATTTAGTCCTAAGTCCCCATTTAAAGTTGCTGAAAAATAGTAATTCGTACGTTTAATGATTCGATTTGGCTGTACCATTGTAACTGCAATAATTGCAATTTCCAATAAGCTTTTCCTTCTCTTCTGATCTTAACAAAACATTGGACAAATGTAGGCTAACTGAAAAATATTATCACCATTTACTTATCGGACAAATGGAATAGCATATTTAATAGAAAAGGTGGTAAAAAAGAGGAAAAAAATTGGTTATACAAATTGCAAGAGACAGCAGATTTGATTCATTGTGTATTTTGGGCTATATATCAAGAACAAAACCTCTGGTACGGGTAAAAGATATATCCAGTAAGGCATGGATTTATTTAATCATATGTTTGCTGTAAACATGCTTAGATGTATTTCAAAATAAAATTAAGATTGTTGGTTTTGGTGTGATTTTGAGAGAGAGAGAGAGAGAGAGAGAGTTGAACAAGATTCTAGTTTTTATTGTACTTCTGATGTTTAAATGTCATCATATTTCTTTAACCTGTTTCAAGGACAGAATGACCCATATATTAAGTTAATGCTAGTAACATTTTGGGGACAGAGGAACTTTTTTTCTGAAAAATGTCCCTTAAATTTTTCTTGAAATAAATGGACCATCTATGTTTGTTTAATTCGACTTTTTAATGCATTTTTGGGGTTTTGGTTTTTCAGATACATTAACATGCACATCATCCGTGTCTACCATAAATTTAAACCCTTCAACAGATCCGTATAAAACCTACAAATATCCTGCAACCGGTCTGTATCCAAGGTAATTATAAAATACCAGCCTTCTTTATTTTGTATTTAAAAGCCATAATCTTGTCATCTGCAAACTCAAGATAAAAAAAATACTAGCTGAAAATTAATAAGGATTAAATGCGTGCATATTTTGGGAGGGTTCACATTTTTGCGTTTTCCCCCTTTTTGGGCGGGGGTCTTTGTGGAAAAATCATTAAAAAAGTGAAGTGTTATTATTCCTGCTTTTACACTACACTCAAATTTTTTCATACACTTAACTTCCAAATGTTTTATTTTGTTGAAAATGAATGTACAGAAACGGCTTTAAACTTGAATATATCTTTAAAACTCAAAAGTAAAGAATAACGTTGCAGATATATGTTCTATTGCTTAGAAATGTTAATGCTAGGGGAAATAATTATGGGGGAGGGTGTCAATTTTTATTCTTGTTTTATAGAATATAATCTTTTCTGGCCTACATGTATTATTGAGTACAAGTTAAAATAAATCAATAATTTGGACAAAACCTTTCAATCGTCTTGAATTCGTATTTTTCTACAGAAAATCAACTGCATACAGAAAGCTCTACAAGAAATTAAATGTCTGTAAGAAATAAAATAGCCGGTATGTAATTCTACTTCTGTCCATATTTTGCAGAACAACGACGTGCAAATGGTTATTTCAAGCCACTGATGCTAGTTCAAGAATAACATTTGAAGTCACCAGTATTTATGTTGATTGTGGAGATACTTTAAAGTTTCATGACGGTTAGACATATTTTCTACTAATAGAATGAAATATTTAGTCGCATATTACATGTACTTCAGATTTGATATTAGTGTATGTGTTCTTCAAAAGGGATTCATGTACCATGCAAATAAGAATTATGAACTTTGAATAAATTGGTATTACCATGACTTGCCGGTATGTTTACTGAATCACACAAAAAGGTTTATTTAACGGATAATACACGGGACACAAAGATAACAGAAAAAAAATTATTTTGGTTTAAATTTTCCTTGACTTGATTCAATTATAATCCAACTTAAAACAAAAAGCACCCCCAAATAAAATAATTAACATAGTGAATTCTTTTATAAATACTATATGCCCCGAGGTCGGAATTTAATGTTGCCTAAATTACATTGTAACATTTATTGTTGAGTCTTAAACGAAATGGTTAATGCTTGAAAATCTTATATAATATATGTACTTTTTTATATCACATAAGTTCTTCTCTATTTCAACTTTATGATTTGATAATCAACAGTAACAAATTCAGATAAAACGAATATAGCATTAATCACTTAACAAAATGATGAAAAAATATTTGTGTATGGTACATGTATCAATTTTCATGCACTTCCAAATACACTATAGTGTTGACTCTTTAAACACGATTGCAAACAAAGCGCTTAGGCAACGCTATATATATCATGCATGTCCAAATGCCTTTGCTAGCGATATGCTGGAGCCAATAGTCCAGATAGAGTGATTTTTATGCTACTGTAATGGCCATGGAGTAGAATTTAATTAATTAGTTTATTTTTTTTATATGACTGAAATGTGTTATCATTTATTGGGATTATTATCAGGGTGGACTTCATTACGCATAAACTACACTGCTATCTGAATAATAACAGAACGTGGTATCGTCTATTTATAGCACATTTGACATATTTGTTGCATTCATTTATACAGGAAATCCTCCATCCTATGAATTGAAGTACATACCTTTAAAACCTTTCCATGTTACTGTATTTTTCAAAATTATATTTGAATTAAATACGTGCCTAACATTGCCACAAGTGCACACGATTGCAGGAGTCATGGAAGTTGTTTACATCCCGCCGACATCTTATTTGTGTTAGCCATAGTTTCGTATTTGAACAAGTTCTACTTTTTCATGCAATTCGATGTTATAATTGTTTGTGAATATCCACAAAATTGATGTTTGAAGATGTTTTACTAAGATTTATCAGCGGTTTTACTTTAAAGGGGATTTAATAGTAGTTACACATTTTTATTATGACAGAGCTATTTGAATATCGTCTGCTGTACGATTGCAGTTTTCTATCATGAAATATACGTTTAATTCACATGAAATGCTTACTTACAGTTGATGAAAACATCCTCCAGATCCATATCATATTATTTATTATTGCAAATGTAAATATTAATTCCGTTTTGTAGCTGTAATCCACATTGTACGGCAGCCTTGTTTGACGTTGTTTGGCACTGTTTGACAGATCTCTGTTTGTACGGCGCCGTACAATGCTGTGATTGGTCGAGCGTCACCGTACAGCTTTTTCATTCGTTAATTTGTGTCACATGACTACTTCAGAAACTTATAAATATAAGCGCCTCGCCAGTTTATGGCAGATAAGTTGCAGCAGCAGCATCCAAATTCTAAATTCTAGGTGAGGAAAAACTGCCAATTATCTCCCAACACACTGGACACCTGATATTTGATATTTAGAGCTTTTAAATTCCAAATCAACTTTTCTACCCCTTTTACCCTTGAAAGTACGGTTGACGCCACAGACCATAACAAATATTACTTGATATATCTATATGTATCCAATATAGACTTTTGTTTACCATACTATCCTTTCCTGTTGTAAGATGAATTAATAAACCAATATTTGAACTGATACCAAGCTTTGTCCTTACTGAGAATCATGAACCAAGAATATAGGAGTGACCTTGAGAAATGTTGTATAAGTACATTGTATGCCCCCCATTTCAGGATGGCCATCCGTGGGGAGCTTACAATTTTTGGTGTCAGAAGTGGGATGCCTATTTTTCTAAGGCATCCAGTGATACAAACCCATTCACTGTTAAGTAACCGCTCAGCTGTCCAGTGTGTTGGTATTACCTGTATATAATATACTTGTTAATTTAATATTTATGGTTTCACATTTTAATTAAATATTAGTAAGATGGCAACGGCTCCATCTCCAGACCCTGAAGTGCACTTCCGTGTTGATGATAATGAGTTAGGTCAAGGTGACCAGTTCTTTGACTCTTCCCCCTCTCCTAAACGTCCAGAGAGACCTAGCCACACCCCAATTCCCAATGTTGAACCAGAACTTCCCAATAGAGATAGATTTGTACCATATCCTGAAAATTTTCCTCCCAGAATGCAATATGATAGATTGGTTGATGTGTTTAGACAGTCCCCCGATGCCCATGTGGTTGTAAAGCCAGAGTCCTTTAATGGTAAAGATGATTGGGATGAGTACATCTCTCATTTTCAAGATTGTGCTGAATTAGGCCAATGGTCTGACCGCACTAAGTTACTTTTCCTTGCTGCAAGTCTTCGCGATCAAGCTAGAACTTATTATATGAGTTTATCCCCTGATGATAAAGAATCCTTTCAGTCTCTTGTTCACAAACTGAATCAGAGGTTTGGTAGTACTAGAAATCAGAACAGATGGCTTTCTAAACTTGAGATGAGGCGACGCCTCCCAGGCGAGTCCATAGCAGAATTGGGTGATGACATCCGGCAGATGGCACAAAGAGCCTACCATAATTTAGATGCCTTAGCTCAGGAAGCATTAGCTCTCAATCAGTTATATAAAGTTATCTCCCTTGAAATGAAGTGTCGGTGCATTGACAAAGATTGTCAGACGGTGGGCGAAGCAGTTGATGTTATCGAAAGGTACGAGTCCATTCTTGGTGACAGTTCCGAAAAGCGCAAGTTGAATGTTCGTGCAGTTGAGTCTAACGCGAGAGCAAAACGGTCTTTTGGTGAGCAGAAGCCTGAAAAAGAAGGAAACAATGAAATTAATTCTACCCTTCAGAACCTTATTACAAGATTAGATCGCCTGGAACATAGCTCCAATAAGAACCATAGACCCTTCCCAACACACAAAAACTGCTTTATATGCAATTCACCAAGTCACTTTATGAGAGCTTGCCCTCACAGATTCCAAGCATACCATAACCAATATCAGCAAAAATTTAACCAAACCACTGCTCCAAGCCAAAACCAAAAGACACAGGGAAACGAGAAACCGCTGACTCAATAGGCCCACAGCCAGCGGAAACAGGGTGGCCTACTTTTGACTTCGATACAAGAGGAGGCCATATTGGGGAAGTGGGTAGTCAATGGGACAATGGATTTTATACTTGCGCAACAGTCCATGGTTGTGAAATAAATTTTCTGATTGATAGTGGATCTACAGCATCCCTCATTTCCAAGAATTTCTATGATAAGCTGAATTCAGCTTGTGCAAGTGAACCAACAGACCTCCATATTGCAAATGTTAATGGGAACAAAATAAACACCTATGGTTCTTTGTGTCTGTCATTACTTTTAGGCAAAAAGACTTACAAACAAAAATTCATTGTATGTGACATCAGTCAAGATGGCATCCTGGGCCAAGATTTTCTCCTAAATTTTGTACAGAAAATAGATTACAAGCGTTCAGTGCTACACTCCTTCCAGCAAGATGAGATACAATGTTGGATTGGTAAGAAAGAGAACCATACATGCAGAGTCCTAGTTTGCCAGACAACCACAGTACCACCGAATACTGGTGCTATATTATCAGTCAAAATACCAGGTTCTGAATACCTAACAAAACTGGGACTAGTGGAATCCAATACAGAGAATTGTGACACCTATGTTATTCCAGGGATTGTTGATTTACATAAACAACATGACAAATTGACCCTCAATGTACTGAATACTAGCCCTGACCCTGTTACACTTTATGCCAATCAACAAGTGGGTACATGTGAGTCTTATACAGATCTGCAAATTGACAGTTCTATTAGAGCTGTAACACCCATGACCGATACCGGAAATACCTTGCCTTCTCATCTTAGGGAATTACTGGAAAGAAGCTCAATACATTTGAACAATGATCAAACTGGTGCCCTGCAAGACCTATTGACCAGATACAAAACAGTATTCTCTGAATCATCTGAAGACATTGGACACACTAATTTAGCTCAACATAAGATAAATACTGGAACAGCTCTTCCTATTAGACAACCCAGTAGACGACTCCCCATAGGAAAGAGAGAAATAGAAAAAGAGGAGTTACAGAAAATGATAGACAGGGGAATTATTGAACCTTCAAGTAGTCCTTGGGCTTCAAACATTGTATTAGTTGTAAAGAAGGATGGCAAGGTGAGGTTCTGTGTAGATTACCGACAACTAAATGACGTCACCATAAAGGATGCATATCCTCTCCCAAGAGTAGATGAGTGTCTAGACTCCCTTGCAAATTCAAAGTGGTTTAGTTCCATGGATCTCAATTCAGGTTTTTGGCAGATTGCTATGTCACCTGACGACAAAGAGAAAACAGCATTTAATACTAGCCTTGGTCTATACCAGTTCACAGTTATGCCTTTCGGCTTAGCCAACTCCCCATCTACCTTTGAACGTCTTATGGAAAATGTATTGAGAGGACTACAGTGGCAGGAATGTCTCGTTTACATGGATGACATCATAGTCCCAAGTCAAAGTTTTTCTGAAAATCTTGAAAGGCTTGAGCACATATTTCAACGTCTTTTGTCAGCAAATCTCAAACTTAAACCTTCAAAATGTACCTTCTTTCAAAAAGAAATAAAGTTTCTAGGTCATGTAGTGTCAGAGTCTGGCATATCAACAGATCCCGATAAAGTTCAGGCAGTTGTAGATTGGCCAATTCCAAAATCTGCAAAAGAAATGAGAAGTTTCTTGGGGCTATGCTCATATTACAGGAGATTTGTCCAGGGATTTGCCCAGGTAGCCCGCCCCCTTCATGCCTTA